AGATAGCTTGGTTCTTTTGAAAGTGCGTGTGTGCGCGTGTGTGTTTAAACAAACCTACAGTTTCCCTCTGTGTAGCTTTCCAGAGGAAATGCCAAGTTGTGTGGCAGCATTGCTATTGTTTATCAATGAAACATTGGGGCAGAACTCCAGCTGGTATAAATTGTCATATCTCACAGCTAAGTACCTTCATGGGGAGAAAATACCAGATACTAAAGGGCTCTTTAATCTACCGGAGAATGGCATAACAAGAACTCATGTCTGAAAGTTAAAGCCAGACAAATTTAAATTAAAAATAAAGGACACCTTTCTAACAACGTGAGTGATTAACAATTGGAACAAATTACCAAGGAAGGTGATGGATTCTCCATCTCTTGAGATCTTTAAATCAAGACTGAATGTGTGTTTGGACGATTCGCTTTAGCCATGCAAAAGTTTATTGAGCTAAATGCAGGGGTAAATGGGTGGAATTCTCTGGCCCATTTTATACAGAAGGTCAGACTAGATGATCTGATAGTTCCTTCTGGCCATAAATCCTATGAAACTGAGAGTTTATTACCACTCCCCCAGTTTTTGTGCCATCTGCAAACTTTATCAATGGTTTTGTTTTCTTCCAGGTCACTAATAAAAATGTTCACTAGCGCAGGACGAAGAACTGATCCCTGAAGGACCCCACTAGAAACACCCATTAGATGATGATTCCCCATTTGCAATTACATTCTGAGGTCCATCAGTTAGCCAGCTCTTTATTCATTTAGTGTCAATTTTATATCGTTCTATTTATTAATCAAAATGCCATGCTGTACCCAGTCAAACACCTTTCGGAAGTCTAAGTATTCCCGTGAACAGTGGTACCTTTATCAATCAAACTTGTAATCTAATCCAAGAAAACAAAATCAAAATATTTGTTTCTGTTGTGTTCACTCCTTATCAATAATTGATTTGATGTTTTTGAAAATATGAAAACCATAACAAAGAAAGCACAGTTGGGGACATCTGCTTAATATGTACTTCTTCCTATTGATTAATCTTTGGAACTTGAAACTGCTACCGTACATGAATGATTCAGTTGCCCTGAGGTGGTTGAGAAATGATGTGTTGCTCAAATAAACTTGAGTACCCTGCAAATGGTGAAAGTTGATACAGCATATTGCATTCACTCAGGGTTTCCATTTTTCAACAGTTACTTGCTGGGATAAAGAAATCGAGATAAGCTGCATGGTTTTTGTTTTGATGCTATTGGGAAATCTGTAGAATGGACAAATGAGCAGTAGTACATTGCTCCAGGAGCATTTATCATTGTGATAAACTTGGCAGTTCATCCCACAAGGTAAATAGAATTTAAATTGTTTAATTAGATAATATTTTGGTTGCAACAGAAGAGCTCCTAAAACTACATATTTTGGTCACAAACCAATGCACAGACTAAAACTCATTGTCTTTCATTGATATAGAATATGTGGGTTGGAAGGGACCTCAGGAGATCATCTAGTCCAACCCCCTGCTCAAAGAGGACCAATCCCCAGACAGATTTTTGCCACAGATCCCTAAGTGGCCCGCGCAAGGATACTCCTGCCTAGGAAACATTTGTTACCTTGTAATTGTGATGCATGGAAATGCTTTGCTTAGATTCCTTTTGCACTAAAAACAACAACCCGGTCCCCAAAAAACTCTCCTTTACTGACAGACACCTTTTGTGTCTTTCAGACTGACCAGGTAAAGCTGCTGAACATTATACTGGGGTGTAGAAGTTTGAAGTACAATAGGTTGTAAACTCCACTGGCTTGGGGATTGCAAATGTTACCCTTAACTGGATGCTTAAATTTGTCTACAGTGCAGCTGGGAGTGTGCTTCCCAGTGTGGGTAGACAGACACATGTTAGCTCTGCTTGAGCTAGCATGCTAAATATAACAGTGTAGCTGGTGTGTCATAGGTGGCAGCCACCTGAGCACAAGCCCACCTGGACCCCCTCATTATGTACTTGAGCAGCTAGCCCAAGTTACTGCCTATGCTACCCCAGTTATACTGCTATACTCAAGCATACTAGCTTGAGTTGAGCTAGTGTGTGTCCGTGCTCGGATTGTAGACATACCTTGTGTATGTCCGTCTACCCAGCTGCATTGTAGACATACCCTGAGAGGCTTCCATTTTGCACCACTTCTCAGGCGTCGGCATTGTGGCTTTTCGATCGTGGGCGAGGTGCTATGCTCTGCTGTCAGTTACACTGCTGCAACTCTGGAGTAACTCCATTGGAACTGAAAGCTCAATAAGCAATTTGCTTATAACTATTCTTCAATTCGCTATGGAATTTCTCTACTACTAGCTACTAACTATTCTCAGTTCACTTTTTGTTGGTTAAAACCTTGACATGCTATTGATTTCTCTTATTAAGGAGCTCACTTTGTGGCAATGGTTCTCATTTCTACCCTTTCAAGACATTTTTAAGTATCAGTAGCTATTTTAACAATTGACTGCACAGTATTTCTTTTATCCTGAGCAGGTACTTATAATGAGGGTTCGGGGTGGGGCGCACTTGCCTGCTTTTTATGGGTCTTATCTCTCTTCCCTGTCTAAAATAAACTTCAGGTAGCAGCTCCATTTATCAGAGGATAAAAATCTCCTTTGTCTCAGAAAGGCATTAGTCACAGGTGCCCTGAGCTATATAGAGGATTTAACACAAAGCCTGACAAGTACGCTATAAACACTTCAGACTTTCACTATTCTTCAGCGGGTGGCTGAAGCATGAGAATACTTTCATACTAGCTGCCCTAGTTGATGATGGGAGAGAATGTGTAAAAGCTCTGGACATTGTAAGATTGTTTTTTTCTCTTTAGTTGTTTTTGAGTTAATAAAATAGAAACTGGTTGAAAATGGATATTGGAAGCATTCAGAGAGGAAAATATCTGCTTTGAGGTTAACTGGATTCCTTGACCATAAAACACCTTAATGCATTGTATTTCAGAGTTGAAGTATAATGCAGGAACATTTTTCAGTGACCAGATACACTATATCTCTGGGTAGCTACTTTCATCTTCTATCTTGCTGAAAGACAGGCTTCCTTTTTTGTAATGTGAGTTCAAGATGTTTGTCAAGTGGTGCCTAGAGTCCTTTCCAATATCTTTCTACCTCTCTACATGAAGCATTTTTAAGGAGTGCTGTTTAATAAAGCATTTCTGTGGTATATATTTTTGCATCTGTTTTTATTTTCTCATAAATAATTGTTTAATCAAAAATCCTTTTTTGTTGTTGTTTACTTGACACGTATGATGTAGCTAAGTTGTATAGAATCTAGACATTTAGAAATGGACACATTTTTAACTTTTCCTAATTATTTTTTCCAGGTGCTAATATAAACCTTGTAGTGCTTCTTTGATTATACACACAATATTTTTATCTGTTCGCATTGTAATTTTGCTAATGAACATCATGGGCTTGAATACATAAAATGGTGTTGAGTGAAGTCTGTTTAGATCTGTACAGTTTAGTAACAATACATTTATTTTTAGAATAGTACTTCTATTAAACCTCAAACAGTCAGACCTAACACAAGCAATTAGCTAGAGATAAGTGAAGAAGAAAGTGCACATTCAACATGTTCTAGGGAACACCTCTTTGCAGGGCACTGTATTTACTGTATAATACCTGAAGAATAAAAGGGCTAAAGTGAGAGATTTAAAATAAATGAAAATATGCAGCACAGAAAGAAAAGGAGGTGGAATAAACTTAGATCTGATCTACACACAATTTTTTTACCTGTATAACTATTTTGCTTAGGGGTGTGGGTATTTTTATCAGAATAATTGTACTGGCACAACCCTTAGTGTGCACACAGTTATGCTGATATAAAGGAGCCTTATACCAGGATTATTTCCCTTCTGGCACCTTTATACTAGCATAACTGCATCTACGCAAATAGGGCTGGACTGGTATAACTGTACTGGTATAGTTACTGCTGTACAATTTTTGTGTGCAGAGAAGCTCTAAGTGGTGTTCAGCTGATAGCACCCACACTTTAAGTGCTACTGAAGGAAGACTTGCTGATATACCCTTAATGTCATGATGCACTCTGCACATTTTTAATGGGCTGTATTCTGAATTTCTCAGTCACCAAAGTCTGGAAGTTTAGCCTGAGAAATGGAATTAGTGAATGTTGAGTATGGGTTTCACGATATGTCCCTAAAAACAATAAATATTGTGAATGGAATTTTCAAAGGCCCCTCAGGGAGTTAGGCATCTAAATCACATTCAGTTTCAATGGGAGTTAGTCCCGTGGAGTATTTGAAAATACCAGCCTGTATTTTTAAATAAGTATTGGTGATAATTAAAAAATATATATTACGCTGCTTCATCTCGAAATATACTTGAAAGCTGCTTCTAGTTTATAATCTAATTAGCTGCCAGTGTGGACATGATCGAAAAATGTCTCATTCTTTTACTGGACCAAGAAATACCTTCACATTCCCAATGTGACACAAATCAGCTTTTAAAGAGATAAAGGAATGTTAATGATGTTTCAGAGAATGGAGTAGCAGAACATCTAGTATCTACATCAGTGTGATATGGAGAAATCATTGTGATATTTTCATTCTGCACTCATCAGTGGGTTTCCCCAGAGCTAACTTTATATTGTCATTTGATATTTGTTAGTATATAAGGTAGGTATAATTTATATGAGTTTTCAGACACAGTTAACAGAAATCAAGAGGATGGACAGGGAAAGCAGCTTGACCTTCAATGGAAAAAGAGTTATTGCTTTCAGTGTGGGTAGCAATGCACTTTTCACTGTGGTTACTCTCTCAGCTTGTCAAAATATACAGTACCCATGGTCTGTAGAATTGAAGCAGTTTGGTACTGTAGTGAAATAAGGTGTACAGAAATATCAGAGGTACGAGACATAAGAACATAAGAAGATGCAACAAATGTTTGTTTTATACAGAACTGTGTTGTCGTTTGTCAGTTGTTGTAAGATCAACATGAACACACTTGTGTGTTTCTCTTGTCAGGTAACCCAGGACTGGCAGGCTATTACAGGACCTTCATACGGGCATTATACCATGGACTAAACCGGCGGTATCCAGTTTGGGTTGTGAGCCATGCTGGGCACTGCAAGCCCCCTAATGGCATGGGAATGACAGAAGGTACTGTACTGTAATTTGTAACATACACAGATTTTACCATAGCAGTGATTTGTCCTGCAAAACCTATGTTTATTAATAATATCACTTAACACTTCCATGGCACTATTCATCTTTGGAATGCCCTGCAGACATTCCCTCAGAACAGCCTTGTGAGGGAGAAAGTACTGTGAGTGTTCTTATTATCGTCTGTAGGCACCTCTACATGAGAGAGTTGCTGTGGGTTCATTGAAAGTGATTTTAACTGATTTTAGTTCTATTGTCGCAAGGAATGTGGACACTCTTAGTTCAGTTTAAAGCGGATTTATTTTGGTTTAGCATAAATCAATTAGGGATGGATTTAAGGTAATTGGAAATATTTTGGTCAGAAACCAAAATTAAAATGTCTATACGTTGATTTGCACCAGTGTCACTAGATTTATCTTAAAACTGTTTTTAAATCGATTAGTGCAACTTCAGTGTGTAGACAAGACCTCTGTCTTATAGATGGAGGGAGGGACCAGGGAGAAGGAGCACAGTGACACAGCCCAAGGCCATGGAAGTAGTATGGCCATATCCAAAACCGAGGACAAGGGTTCCTGGCTCCCAGGCCTACACCCTGACCACTAAATGGTACTTCTCTGGTCTTAAATTACTTTCTTAACTCTTAGACAAACCTGAGCATTTGCTCTTTGCATTTACACCTGCACAAAGCAGTTTTCAGGATCAGGGGCTTAACAGCAGAAATGTTTAAGGTCACTTTCCTTACCATAGCATTTGCACCTGAGCTTTTGAGCCTTAGTATGTGCTTCTGTAATTTCAACGTTAAAAGTGAAATCTGAAACCTAATGGTGTTTTTGTCAAATTGCTACTAATCATTCTGATCAAGTGTCAAACTCTAAGGCAAACATTAGCACTTTGTCAGTGGGATGAGAATTCCCCATACTTCCAACTACTAGCTATACCATAATATATGTTAAGATCTGCACTTGCTGGTAAGCCTGCAGCACCATGAAGTTAATAAAAGTATAGATAACTGTTGAGGGATAGCTACAGAAAAAAATGAATGAAACGATGCAGGGTTTTAGTGTAACTTCTTGTTTATTTTATTAGGAACAGGAAGTTCAAATCCTGTCAGTGTGAATTTAGAAATTATTTAAAAATATTCCTCAGGCAGCTTTTTCAAACTAGTCTTCTAGGAAATCCAAAAATGTTAATAATTTTTAAAAATTTTGTATTACTAAACTGGTTTCTTGAGTAGGGCAGCAAGCTACACTCTGTGATAACACGTTAAGCATGTAACAACAAAAAATCAGTTAATTTCTTATTAACCCGAGGGAAAATGCTAAGCAGCTAGAAGTCCTCGAGTTAATCTTATTATCATAATCATAAATTGAGTGCGATTGGGGAAACAGATGTTGGTCAGTGTTGGGAGAAAGGAGGAGAAGAGGAAATAATAAAAAAGTAAATTTTGAGTCATTAGAAGCTGATCCCCTTTCCTGCATTTGTTTATTGCAACAAATGCAGTGAACTAAATCATGAATTAATTGCAAGTGCTTTACCTGAAAACTGCAAACTAAAGCCTCAAATGATGGATTAAGAAAAGAGGAAGCCAGAATGAATCTCTAAAAAAATCATTTGCGAAATGTATCTATGAGGTGCTGCAGTGTGAATAACCCACCAAAGTGCCTTAAAGAGTCAGCACAAGGAAAATGCAGTCAGATCACACCTGCAAGTGTACAGTGCAAAAATATAAAATACTCATATTACACAATACACTCATGTTACACAATACACAGTTGAAAACTGAGGGAGGTAGGAAACCTCAGAAGAATGAAAGTTTCCTATTCATTTGTCAGGATGCAAAAAAAAAAAAAAAGTGTCTTCACTGCTGTGTAACACACATCTGCAAGCACATTCCTCTCTCAACACTAGGGCATGGGTGACTTTTTTCCAGTTGATACTGCGTTTGATTTAAACATCCCTGCTATTTCTTCATTGTGTTCATTCAGTTTGCAGAAAACAATATTTTATATTAAGTTTGCTCTTTTCCAAAGGGGTCTAAAAGCCCATTACAAATTATGGGGCAAATCCTGACTTCCTGTGTAAGGCTCAAGTAGCAGGGTGCCTTGTTTCGCCAAGGGGAATGGAAGGCTCTCCATAGACTGTGGGTCAAAATGGCTGTAGTCGCCAGTATGTTATCTAAATCTTCTCTGCCCTTCACAAAGGGGTTTGGCTGGTGGATACAGGTGATGGACCCATTTTCTATGACCCTCCACCCCTCATGCCTCCTACGTCAGCCCCCAACATACATCTTGCAGCATTCTGGATAATAAAACCCCTGAGGAACACAAATCTATAGGCACAGGGGGAAAGGATCCTGCTCTCTGCTGCTGCTATCTATTGGGCCCTGAATTTCTGGAGAGTGGAGTGCTAGAAACAGAATTTAAGCCTATATAAATGCTGCAGGAGGATGGAAACCAGGTGGATAACTGACACACTACGCAGCAATGGAGGAAAAGGAGAGTTTGCCCAAGAATACTAGGGCTTAGATCTTTTTTCTGTGGACTCTTTCACGTCCCCAATAAGCACCAACAACCTCTAGTTTTAAGTTCTCATTTGAAAGACCCACACAAAGAATTTCAGGAAACCCAATTTCAATACAGACGCTCCCCGGGTTACGCAAACCCGACTTACGGAAATCCGCACTTACGGAAAAAGTTCTGGTTTTTTGCGTAACTGTCGGAGATACATTCCCAACTTATGCAAAATTTGACTTACGCAAGGTGTTCTGGAACAGAACGCATGCATAAGTCGGGGAGCGTCTGTACTTGGGAAGGATGAAGGGATAAACTGATTATGCTAGTAATTAAACCTGTGATTCAAGAGTCTTTCAAATCTGAGCCTTAGAGCAGTAAGAAATGTGTTCTTTTCAAAACCTCATGCATCCTCAGAAGAAAGGAGGCTCCATCCCCTTGTTGCTCAGTGAGCATTGACCTTTTACACGTAGAGAACAAAGTCTACCAGAGTATTTGTTGCCTTAGTGGAAAGAGATTGTGGTCAGGCTGTATTCTCTTAAAGAATCTCAGAAAGGATCTAAGGCTGTATTTTGCTCTGCTGTCATCTGTCTAATCTTTCTCCCCTTCATGGGGCAAGGCCCCATTCCACAAGAGTGCAAGCAACATCTATGGTATTGCTTCAAGAAGTTCTACTTGATATCTACTTGATATCTTACATGTTTGTAAGACTTTATGCTTTGGTATAAGATTCCTCCGCTGATGTATCCTTTGGAATGGTGGTCCTTCATTCAGCTCTGCTGCTTGTGTCCTCACACCCTCCTCCTACTTGAGTACTGCTTGTCAGTCACCCATAGGGACCAGTACTTGAAGAAGAAGAAGAGACCTTATAGTAACTGAAGGTTCTTTGAGATCAAAGAACCTTGTGGTTCTTGTCTGTGTTCCGCTACCTATCTTCCTTCCCCTCTGCTTCGGACCATCTTTTGGATCGTGACAGAGAAGGAACTGAAGAGGCTGTCGGTCTGCCCCTTCCTGTATCTCCTAGGTCGGGGGCATGAGGTGAGTGAGAATACATATGTGGCCCAATGGACACTGCTTTCAAAATTTCAAAATCCACATGCTCCCGGCATGTGGAGCGCCTGCGTACACCCAGTGGAATACAGATGGGGCCACACATCTTGAAGAATCTCCGGTTACTATAAGGTAAGTAACTTTCTCTTCCCTTTTATAAGTTTCATTCTCTGTGTTTGTTTTCCTAATAGTCTAAGGAGAACCGACAGATGCACCAGTATTGTGTACTTTCGAATAAGAGACACTGATGGTAACAAAATTGTTGTTAGCAGTGCATGTTGCTTAGCAATTTGGTTGTGAATGGGATCTTAAATAACCCACCATTTGCTGCTGTGGCTTGTGTAAAGCAGTAATCATATGGTATCTGGTAAAGGAAGCTTCTCCTGTCATCCTTGCCTCCTGATACGGATTGAAGCAAAGAGGCTTAGCACTCACCAATTTGCATGATGCTCCCTGTTCGGAGGTAGATATGTTGAGTTTTAACTGATTTAAGTTATATGTTTCTGAATGTTGAGTTTAATCAGTAATTTAGTATTATAATTCTACTTTTAGCAACCAGTTGTGCATAAATTATTCATAATTTTCACTTTCACTTAGCCAAAAATCAGTCTTGCCCCTTAGTCAAAAAGAGTGGCTCATCTTCCAGCTCAACTGTTATAAAAATCCTTGTAGGCTGAACACTGCTGTGATTGTTCACTATATAGAGCACCTGATGCTGAAGTATTTAAAATTGCAAAAAGGAGAGCAGCTCCTGAGCACTTTCTTGGACACACTGTTTAAAAATCAACATAATCTATATATGCTGCATAAACGTTTGCAGAATCTTAAAGGTGTTGCTTTTTCCTTTGCAATGCCTAATATTGACACTTTGACTCATAGTTTTCCTAATGGTTAATGTGCTTGAGTCAGTCACACAGATGCTACCTATGAACGGCTTCTTTTATAATGTCATAAACACTGACTACTTATTTATCCTGGCAGTTTTGTCGGCTACGTGAAATGTATTATGATTTTATTGGTGACTGCCTTTATGAGCTGTGAGTATTTGGACATCAGTTGTTTAATTTCAATTTAAAATACAGGTTTGTAAGAAACAAAGGGGGAAAAAGTATGAACCCAAACAGATCATAATTCAGAATAGCAATGTCTGCCTTTAATTAAAATAAACAGTGAAAGTATACCCATAATTAGTTTATTTGTCCAAGTTTGTAGGGTTTCTTTTAGCATGTCACTAATAAAAGGGATTTGCATTACTTTTCTTTGAGATTTCCGGTCACATTTTGATGAGAAATGTAATCTTCTACAGCTCATAGAGTAACATGTTAGGCATTGAGAAAGTTTATTTAAACTACAAGTTAGTGCTTTTCCTATAAGAGGCTTTTTAAAATACATTGCAGCTCAATGCCCTGGCTGTCAAAACAGAGGCTACTGCCTGAG